TAAAGTCTACATTTTCAGAAAGAGCAGTTATGGTAGTGATATATGAAGAAATGAAGTACGAACAGGGTTAAACTGAGCTCTTATATTTTCCTCTCCTATGAAATGATATAAATGGCTTTGGTTACCAAGTGCAGTTTATTTCAATAGAAATAGTACAACTCATGATTGTTCTTTAGTAAAATGAAAGAAAAATTATGCAGAATGATAAATTTCGTTACAAAAAAATTGTTCTTAAGAAATCCATGTAGACTCATGAGATAAATGGGAATTTCCAAATATTTCATCCAAGGTTGGGAATCACTTGGGAGAAGAGAAAAACAACAAAGGAAAAGCTGTCAGATCTCACAAAATCAAAAACTTAATAAAGTGATACAATTAAATTATATAGAAATCATAGAAAAAGAAAATCCAAAAATGAGCAGAGAGAGTACATTCTACTTCCACAACCTGATCTAAAAATCATGACATCTGGCTCTGAGGCTTTGAGTCCAGCTGTCATGTGCATTTCTTCAGCCCTAGGATAATTGGTGCTTTCATAACTGCCATCCCAAGCAATCTCTTCAGGGCCCTCTTTAGGTCTTTGTTCCTGAGACTGTAGATGAAGGGGTTCAGCATGGGTGTGACCACAGTGTACATCACTGAGGCTGCTGCACTTGAGTGTGAGCTTTGGGTAACAGCAGAGCTGAAATACACTCCTAGGATTGTCCCATAAAAAAGGGAGACAACCAAGAGGTGAGATGCACAGGCAGAAAATGCCTTATACTTCCCCTGAGCTGATGGGATTCCCCAGATGGAGGCCACTATCTTAGAGTAAGAGTAAAGGATACAAACAAAGGGACCACCACCCAGGAACACAGCTCCAAAATACATCACCATGTTATTAAGAAAGGTGTTGGAATAGGCAAGTTGGACCATCTGATTGAGTTCACAGAAAAAGTGTGGAATTTCTAAATCTGAATAGAAAGACAGTCTTAACACCATTGAGCTTTCTAACAAGGAATGCAGGGCACTTGTGATCCAGGACACCAGAAGCAGCAGTCCACAGAGCCTGGGGTTCATGATGACCATGTAGTGCAGGGGGTGGCAGATGGCCACAAACCGGTCATAGGCCATCACAGTCAGAAGGAAGTTGTCCAGTCCCCCAAACAATACGAAAAAATACATCTGGGTGATACAGCCTTTATAGGTTATGACTTTGCTCTGTGTCTGGATGTTCCACAGCATCTTTGGGATGGTGGTGGAGGTCAAACAGATGTCTACCAAGGACAGGTTGGAGAGGAAGAAGTACATGGGCGTGTGGAGGTGGGAGTCTGAGCTGACAGCCAAGATCATGAGCAGGTTTCCAAACACAGTGATCAGGTACATGGAGAGGAAAAGCCCAAATATGAGGGGTTGCAATTCTGGTTCCTCTGATAATCCCAAAAGAAGAAATTCTGAAAATCCTGTGAGGTTCCCTAGTTCCATGTGGTGGAGGTGACTACCAGGATATAGGAAAAGTATCATGACTAATTTTTCCACAAGTAAGCATTTGTAACCTAGCATAAATGCTACCTTCTATATTTTGGAATCAAGGAACTAATTTCCTTATTTCGTGTATGTCTAGTCTCCTTTAGAATATCTCTAGTCCCATTTCTCATTACAGTTTTCTTTTAAATGTGAAGACACATAAAAAATTCTGTGTCTTACTCAATTCTTTCATTAATAAAAATAAAAATAAAAAAGGGAATGGTTGGGGTATAAAGCACAGTATGATGACTATAGTTAATAATACTGTTTTGTGTACTTGGAAGTAGCTAGAGTGTATATTTTAATTGTTCCTATGACAAGAAAAAATGCAACTATTATTGTGACAGATGTTAACAAGACATACTGTGGAGGTTATAATGCAATATATACAAGTACAGAATCATTATGTGGTACTCCTGAAATTAATATAATGTGTTATGTCAATTTTTCTTCAATTTAAAAAATTATTACAGCAATGGAGGTAACACTGTAGGACTGACAGTTTGAACCACACAAAATTAATGAACATTATTCATTCTCCACAAACCTTATATAATACATGTAAGAACTAAATGGGAAAACAGTCAGTTTGTATAAAAATCTCCAATTCTTATTTTGAAAGAGTCCAATCAAAAAATTGAATAAGAAAATATAGGCAACAATATTGTGGTAAGTCTGCATGGTCACAGATGATTACTAGACTTGGTGTGGCAATCACATTGTAATGTATATAAATGTTGAATCAATATGTTTTGTACCTGAAACTAGCTTAATATTGTATACAAACTATACTTACATAAAAATTAATGAAAACACTTTGATTACACTATTCAAAAGCAATGAACTTTCAGGGTACAACACAGTGAACGTTATATTGGTTGTCATCTATACTTTAATTTAAAATAAATTAATAAACAAGTAAAGAAAATAACTTGCACAAACAAATTTTAACACAGACTTAAAATGGCTTACAAACCAACAAATTTCATTGCTCATTCTTATAGGTAATGAAATATTTACGAAGTTAATCTCATTATCTTACTCATTTTCACCTACCTAATAAATTTTTTTTAATGTGAATAGCCAAGGTGAGAGAACATACTGTGAAATGTATGTCTCATGCACTGTGATTGCAAATGTGTATTTGTAGCCTTCTGGGTCTGGATCTTTCTCATCCATATGGAAACATTGTCTATTATTCCTCATCATAAACTTTAAAAAATGCTCTCACATCAATATATATTACTCCATATCTAATAACTTATTTGTCTATTCCTATTAATTGATAAAGTCCTTGAACTTATGGTCTACTTCTACTGGAAGGACTTTACACCTCCAATGCCCTTTCTTAATTTGTCTGCTATTAATACCATTTAATTGTCAACATTGGCACTTTCATTTATTTCTGAGTGCAGTGTTCACTTTCCTTTGAGCATCATGAATAAATACATTAATGTATTTGTAACGCCAGCTGACAACCACAGTGATCACTGGTACCTGGGCTATGTTTGAATGGTTCTGTGGTGACTTTATGTATAAGTTCTTGGCTTTCAGTCTCTCTGATCCTCTCCTGCCATGTCTGTTGGGCTGTCTGACTCACCTGGATGGAAATTCTGAGAGTAAGGTTTCCCTGTGGCAGTCTGAATCCTTGCCTGGATGGTTGGTGATGCCAACCAGAGCTCTGTCCCAGACAAGACAACAAGGAGACATGCATTGGTCTCCCAGACAGATTTAGGACTTCAAAAAAGAAAAAAAAAGACCACGTTCCTTCCAACCAAAGGTTGCACATGGTGAGGGTCTGCAGTAGAGCTGCTATTTACGCGCTCTGTGTCTGCTCATTAGGCACATTTACTTCTTGTTACTCTAACCTCTAAGCACAGGATTCCCCTGGGGGACACTACTCTGGACAGAATGGAAATTTTTCCTGCTCATCCTGGGTTCCTAGGAGACAATGTAATAAGCCAGGTGAGTGCAGTTGTGGTTATTCTTTCATTAAATGTCCTGCTTCCTGAAGTCTATGCCTCCCAGGAGCTCATCTCAACTCTGAGTTAAAGTTTCTGAATGGATGGAACTAGAGGGTATTATGCTCAGTGAAATAAATCAGTCAGAGAAAGACAAATGCCATATGATTTCACATATTTATCAAATCTAAAGAGCAAAAAAAAATTTCAACAGACTCATAGACAAAGAGAACAGTCTGGTGGTTGCCAGAGGGGAGAGCAGGTTGGAGAACTGGGATTAAGAAGAGAAAATTGGTAGTTACTAAATAGTCTTGGGGGTGCTGGCCGTCTTGGCTCAGTGGACAGATCCTTGTTCCAAGGATTTAAAGGACCTGAGTTCAATTTCTGGTCAACAGCATGTGACCTGCTTGCAGGCTTGATCCCAGACCCTGGCCAGCATGCAGGTTGGAGGCAACCAATAGATGCGTCTCTCGCACATGGATGTTTCTCTTTCTCTGTCTCTCCCCCTCCTTTTCACTCACTCTAGAAATCACTGGGAAAATGTCCTGAGGATTAACAACACCAACAAAATAGTCTCAGGGATATAAAGTACAACATAGGGCAGGGGTGGGCAACCCTTGGCACACGTGCCAAACATGGCACGCCAGTAACTTCTAGGTCAGGGGTGGGCAACCCCTGGCACGCGTGCCAAACATGGCACGCCAGTAACTTTTGCCAGCACGAGAAACCCTCTCTTATAATCTTCCATTTACAATTTTTTTTCTTAATATCGACTTTTTTATTTTTCAGATAAATTCAGTGTAGGTGCATCTTAGATAAATAAATAATTTTACATAACAAGTTATCTTAAAGACCATAGACATGGATTGACGAGAGAGGGGAAGAGCAATTTCTATGCCTCTGCCTTAACTCTCCCTGCCTTCCTAGATCCGACCAGTGTTTTGGTTTCATCCACATACGCTTGTGAATCTTTGTTCTCAGTGATGAATTTTGTTAAGTCTCGTAATAGGAGTAGCCTGACGGATGAAAGTAGTAGCTCGTGCATATCTCTGAAGGTCACGAAATATAAACCTGATGTAAAATCTCTGTCATCAGTGATGCAGCAGCAAAAGTCCCACTGATAATATCAAACGGAGTCATAAAGTTTTCTGTCAGACTATCAGTGTACATGTATACATTAAAAAATAAATATATTTTTCATTATCATATACTGTGTTTGTGTCGCTCGAATGAATTTTATTATTTCTTCAAGGTTCTTCACATTTGTACACCTTAAGAGATATCAAGTAGGTGTAACATGTTCTTAAAAAATTAGGGTTGGCACGCAGAAGAATTTTGAGTCAGAGATTTTGCTGGTTTTGGCACACACTCACAAAAAGTTTGCCCACCCCGACATAGGGAATATAGTCAATAATATTGCAATAACTATGTATGAGGTCAGTTTGGTACTGAAAACATCAGAGGGGGACACACTAGGTAAAGTATATGACATTCTAAACACTATGTTGTACACCTGAACTCAAACCAAAATAATACTGAAAGTAAACTGTATTTGACAAAAGTCTAATACTACTAATTTGTCTGACTGGTCTTTGGATCTTCACAGCATTGATTTATGGTGGGGACACAACCGCTGATATATCTAGAAAATTACTATTTCCCTCTTTAAGAAAAGGGATATATTTGTTTCTTTGGTATAAAACCTTGGGCTCTATACTACTTGGCTTCATGATAGTTTAGCCAAAACAATTAGAAATTTCATAGTTAAAGCACAAACTGTCATTTAGTTCCACACTATAAAATGTATATTAAATATAAGAGAGACATTTAGATTTTATGTGTCATAACCCAGGTTAGCACATTATAGCAATTGCCACATGTATGTTTTGGAAAACTGCATTCTGTGGGGTAGTACATTTATAAACTACCTTCTCCAATACAGAAATGGGGCACAGCGAGATTTCCTTGTATATATATACTAGAGGCCCGGTGCATGGATTTGTGCACTGGTGGGGTCCCTTGGCCTGGCCTGTGCCCTCTTTCAATCCAGGACCTATAGGGGGATGTTGGAGGCCTGATGCATGGATTTGGCCATATCCAAAAAGGCCAGGCTGAGGGACCCTACCGGTGCATGGATCCATGCACCAGGCCTCTAGTTTGCATATAAGATCTTTGGTTAATCTCTTCCTGCCCTCCACCTCCCCTCTTCCCTCTGAGATTCATCAGTCTGTTCCATGTTTCCATGCCTGTGCACTGAGTGTCTGTCCCCTGGTTGTCAGTGCACATCATAGCTACCAGTTCAACAGTCGAACGGTCATTTAGGCTTTTATATATATAGATTTTTTTATTTATTTCTGAGAGGAAAGGAGGGGAAGAGAGAGATAAAAATATCAATGATGATTCTCTACAGGGATTTTCTACACACCTCCTCTGGGGATTCTCCTATACACCCACTACCGGGGATTTAGACTACAAAGTAGGCATGTGCCTTCACTGGAAATTGAACCATGACATCCTGGGTCAACATAGGCAGGCAACAGAGGGATTTAATGTTGTGCTCAAAGGTATAAGCCAAAAAAGAGATGGAGTTTTGCCGTGGCTGAACAGCAGACCCTGAGCAATGGATGAATGGTTTGGCAGCCTGGGAAGCCCATGAACCCCTTCTCAGAAAAAAAAAAGAAACGCTTTTAAATGAATTAAATAAAATACATAAGGTCATAAGCAGTGGTTCTCAACCTTCCTAATGCTGCGACCCTTTAATACAGTTCCTCATGTTGTGGTGACCCCCAACCATAAAATTATTTTCGTTGCTACTTCATAACTGTAATTTTGCTACTGTTATGAATCGTAATGTAAATATCTGATATGCAGGATATATTTTCATTGTTACAAATTGAACATAATTAAAGCATAGTGATTAATCACAAAACCAATATGTAATTATATATGTGTTTTCTCATGGTCTTAGGTGACCCCTGTAAAAGGGTCATTCGACCC